CAAAACTCGAAGGCTAATCAAGTTTCCTATTTCTTTGGGCAATGTTTGTAGCTGTGTGCATGCATAGAGGTGCAAAACTCGCAAATGTTGGAGCTTGCTCAATGAATTAGGGAGACTCTTCAGCTTTTGATTATCAGTAAGAGAGAGATATCTTAAATGTTTCAACTTACCAATGGAGCGGGGCAAAGTCTCATACTCGGAATTACTTAATTTCAAAAACCGCAAGCATTTGGACCTTGACACCAATGTATTCAAGAAATCATCGTTGTTGGCTCCCACAGGAAAAAGTACTATTCTCAGACCTCTTGGAATGGAAGTTTGACCAAGTAAATCACTTTTGATAAATGACAAATGCTGGACATTCTCCAATATATTCTCACTACAAGAATTTATGAGCTGAAACTCATCTTTTGCAACATAAATTGCAAGATCATGCACCAAATCGTGTAATTTAAACTTGCAAGTAGTACCATGGTCAACAAAATCTTGAAGGAAAGATCTTGATTGCAGCTCACGCAAAAATTCATTGCCAACATCAATCAGTGTTTTGTTTTTGTTTGGTGATGCAAGAAAACCATGTGCCTCCCAAAGCCAAGGAACACGGACATCATTGAAATAAAAGTCCTTTGGAAAAAGGGAGAAGCAAGCAAAACATGGCTTTAAATATGAAGGCAGCTGGTCATAACTTAATTTTAAGGCAGGCAGAATGTCATCTTCTTTTTGTGGTAAATTCCAAATCTCATTGTCTCTAATAGACTCCCAGTCTTTCATATCAACTTTCAAGAATAATGAACTCCCTAATGTTCTCACAGCCAATGGAAGCCCGCCACATTTTTTCACAATTTCTTTCCCAATCTGCAACAACTCAGGATATGTTCTCTCTTCTCCTTCTTTAAAAGCCCATTTCACAAATACGGACAAGGAATCATCTTCAAAAAGACCTTTTAAATTGTATGATGAATTAGTAGTGGCTATCATAGTAGCGATTGAGTGAATACGTGTAGTCACCAGGATTTTACTTCCTTCAGCCCCTCCTTGTAGTAATTTCATCAACTTGACCCATTTAACGCGATCCTCGTTCCATACGTCATCCAAGACAAGCAAGAAATTTTTACCATCAAGTTTACTCCTTACAAGATGTTGTAGTTGCACCATATCACAACTTTTAAAGCTTTCCTGGTGAGTAAGGGTAGGAGCAGATGTACTACTAACCGTATCAGACTTGAGAATTTTACGAAGCAAATCCTCAAGCTCAAAATTGTCAGAGACACACACCCACATCTTCAATGGGAAAGACTTATCATATATCCTCTCATCGTTAAACACCAACTTTGCAAGTGTAGTCTTCCCCAATTCCCGATTCCCACGATGGGGATAACAACGAGACTTTTATCATCACCATCATGCAACAAAAGCTCTAAAATTTTATCTTTAACATTTTCCCTTCCTATCACATCTGAAGCATCAACATGGGAGTGAGTCATTTCCCTCCTATGCACAACACGTGTATCATTCTCAATGGTTTGAAGGCCAAACTTATGCCTATCAGCGGCAACCTTGTCTAATCTCTGTTTGATAACTTTGATCTGATGCGCCATTCGAAGACGATAAACAAGAGGATTTGAAGTTGAAAAGAAACGGCGTACCTTCCTTGAGTTGCTACCGTAAGTGTTGATAACATGCTTTCGTAAGGCTTCGCACTCAACATCATCGATTATGTCTTCGGCATCAGAGAAAACACGCTTAATCTGTCTTAGCCACCCCCGCAACTCATTGTTCTGTTGCTGCTTTTGCTCTGCATCCAATAGCACAACTTTGATGAACGACAAAGTTTCTTTGAGTTTATTCAGATCGGCCTTCACACTCAACACCGAAGAAGCTTCTTTAACAGTCAAAGAAGTAATCTTCCCAATGAGTGATTCTGCGACGCTGAAGAGAAGGGATTCGACCATGATTTTGGGGGAAAGATGAAAGAGGAGAGAAAGGAATGCAACGTACCTCTGAGAAGTGTGTGGTTGGAAGAGGGGAGCCAAGAAGAATTGTAAGAATATACAAGGTCAAGTCAATGGCAAAGTCTAGCAAAATATCTTAACCACGAAAAAATGTGTTGTAGATAAGCTTGCCAGTGCACTCACAATTAAGAAAAAGAGAGAAAGTATTTTACGCTAAGTTCTTTTTATTTTTCTTACAATAAATGTTGCTATGTTGTAAATGGGGATTTTTCTAAAATGGGAAAAAAAAATTATCATTTACTTACTATGTTGCTAAATGGGGAGGGCCAAAGCTCAAAGACCAGTTTATCTCCATCGTGACAACCATTTTAGATTAATGTTCAGTATTTCAATTGAACCAAAAATATTTATGTTCAATAAAAAAATGCTGATATGTTTTTGCTCATTAATAAACTTTCATCACTTGACAAACATTTTATTTCATATACATAAACATACATATTCATGTGGTAATTAAAGAAATTGTTTGAAACAAAAATTACCCTTTCGAAAGTAATCACTGCCACTAGTACTCCAAAAGGAGAGTATTATCTTCATTGCGGATTATGCTGTTCACGGGAGACTATAAATATCAGAATTCATAACGATTTATTAATGGCATTATTGGCATGTGATAAGTCTCTAAATTGAGACTTAAAACATATGCTTTATATTTCAAATGAAGGGAAATGAATAGACTTTGTGAATCAAATACCCCTAATGTTTGTGATTTATCTTTTGTTGATTGAAATGCTAATGGGCTACAATATTTCATCTTTCAGGCCCAATTGTTATCCAAATCAGGAAAAAAAAAATCCAAGACATGAAGAAAAGAGAAGAAAGTAAGGAAAGAAAGAATTGGGCCAGACCCAAAAGCTAAGGCCCGCATGAAAGGAAAACAAAAAGAGAAGCTGATAGGGATCAGATGAAAGAAAGGAATAAAGGAAGAAAAAAAAGGGATGGGCCAGACAATTGAAGAAAACAGCAGCCCAAAGCGGCCCAAAAGAAGAAAAGAAGAAAATAATAGGGGAAGAGAGCTAAAGAGACAAGTCAGAATCGTGAGAAAGGAGAAAAGAAGAAAAAAAACCGTAGCACAAACCCACCCTCACCATCCGTCACGGTCACTTTTGAGAATCGATCAACTAAACCGATTCACCATTTGCTTTTCACCCTAGACAAAAACCCTAGCCTTCCACCACGGTTTAGTTTCTGAACCGGACCAACCCACACAAACCCTAACCAATTCTTGGACCAATCCAGAAAAATCCAAAAGAGTTGATGAGCAGGAGTTCGTTAGTGGAAAGGGCTACTTTTTTAGGTGCGTTGGCTGAATCGTACAAGGAGACACCCACGATCGAAAGGAGCAAGGAGCGTACGTTGGAGGGGATGATTTTGGAGCAGCTATAAAGGAGGGACGAAGAGCTTTTTGTAGGGTTATCTATCTCTCTCTCTACATCTCTTCTGTTCTTGGATAATTTTTTCTCTTTAGGTTATTTTTCATCCGACTGTTTTCTGTTTTATTTTTTTTAGATTACTGTTTGTAAATGTTATGAGCACTTTGGTCAGGACTATCGGCTGTTGATAGTTCCTGAGTTTTATTTCCAGTACCTTTTAAAGTTTCCATTTTTACTATGAACGCTTACTGTATTTTAGCTCATCAACCTGTGGTGATGAGCTAATTTTTCTGGGAGTTGGGTTGAAAAAGTACCCGAAACTCACTGTTATTGGATTGTGTTTTTAATATTTACATGGTTGTTTTCAGCTTGTTTACTGTGCATGTTTGTTGCTGAGTTTGACTATATGATGATCACACATAGTCAACTCTTAGTGGTGTGAGGTTATTGGGAAATAACTCACATTAGACCCCACTGTGAGCACATGGAAAGTTGAGTTAAAAACCTTTCTCAATGGGTATGGCTTCAGGGATGAAGTTACCCCCATGAAACTTGTGAAAATTGTTCTTTAAGATCCTATGACAACAGTGACATAGGGATATGCCAACTGTTGTCAGTGGAAGAAAATTGTTGTTGGGAAACAACAATTACCTTAATATTTTCGTTAAGCTAGGAGCAATTTGTGTGCTTTGTTAAAGCATCCCAATAACAATTGAGGCAAGGGGAAATTGACACCCAACTCATTTTCAAATACTGTTTTAAAAACCAATTTTTGTCACTTATTATTTTTCATCAAAATCTGAAATTAGTTTTTCTGTTTCTAAACTTAAAAGAAAACCACTAAAGAAAAAAGAAAATATTTTCCCAGTTTTTATTTAAGTCATTTTTCCAGGCAATAGTTAAAGAACCTGTACCAATTAAACCATTGTTTTAAAAAAAGAGAAAATCACTACAAAAATATTTTTAGTTCTTTAGTTGAGAAAAGTAGTAGCATTTAATTTTATTAATTTTTAGTTTTAGTTCTTTTAGCAATTACCATTTATTTCCAGTTAAAACGCAAAGATCCTTGTGGGAATGATTACTGGGACTCACAAAAGCCCCATATTACTTGTTGTCGCGTATACTTGCGCGCATTACTTGCACAACTGTTAGCAAGGCAACAAGTTTTTGGCGCCGTTGCCGGGGATCGAGGCGTACATGATCAGATTTCTTTGTGTGATTGCTATTTCTGAATTGCTTATTTTTGCTGTTTTTTTTAGTTTAGCTTAATTTGAATTCTGTTTCAGTAGTGTTACTATAGTTCGTGAATAGTAATAGCTTAAAAACTTTAATCTGTTCATATTTTGTTTTCTTTATGTCATTTAATTTTTTTTAGTCTAATAGTTCATATTTGTTATTTTATTTCATAATTTTGTAGTTACAGTTTTATTTTAAGTATCAGTCTCACTCTGTTAGTGAGTCTGCCTTATAAAGCTGAAGAGCTGTGAACTGTCTTGGGACTTTTCTGTTTGCAGGTTCTTGTTTGTTTATTTTTTGCTTGTTTTGCATAAAAGTTGGTTAGTAATCTAGGTGTTTTAGCTAAGTCAGGTTTACCTATTTTAGTTAAAAGGGGTGCATGAGTGCAACTCCACACCCGTTCATAGATTCAATTGACCCTGAACCTGAGAGGACATTTAGAGTTAGGAGAAGAGCCCAGAGAGCACATAGGCAAATTTCACTTCTAGAAGTTGAAGAAATGGAGGATTTAGGAAGTGTAAATGGGAATGATGGGGTAGGAGGACCTGCAAGGATAGAGAACCCACCTGTCATAAATGACAATGATAGGTCCATGATGGAAATCATCATACCTGTGTTGGATGAATTAGATCCAAGCATAGCTCAACCTGTGAACGGAGTGCCCTTTAAGCTAGAACCGGTGATGTTCACCATGCTCCAAAATATGGGGCAGTTTCATGGGTTGTTGATGGAAGACCCACACAAGCACCTTAGAAATTTCATAGAAGTGGCCAACACTTTTAGGAATCCCAACATCTTGGATGATGTGTTAAGATTGAAGTTTTTCCCTCATTCACTGGCTGACAAAGCCAAAGAATGGTTGAACTCCCTTCCATCCAACTCCATAACCAATTGGCACACCCTTGCTGAGAAATTCATCATGAAATTTTTCCCCTCCAATAAGATAGTGCAAACTAGAGGTGATATTGCTAACTTCATGCAGAGGGATGGAGAGACACTAGTGGATGTGTGGGAGAGGTACAAGAACCTTCTTAAGCAATTCCCCAACCATGGTTTGCCCTTTTGGGCAGTGTTACAAACCCTGTACAATGGCCTGAATACTTAAAACAGGGCCTTGGCAGATTCTGCCGCTAATGGCATGTTTATGACTATGTCCTTTAACCAAGCCCATGAGTTGTTAGAACAAATGACTCAAAATTATGCCCAATGGCCTGAAGAGAGAAATCAGCCAAGGAGAGTGGCTGGTTTACATGAGATAAACCCTGTAACAGCTCTTTCAGCCAAGTTTGATGCATTGTCAAATTTAGTGAGAACCCAAGAACAAACCATTGAGGCAAGATTGTCCCAACCCCAAGTTCCTCTACCTACACCTCAAATACCTGTGACCCAACCTCAAGTTAATGTAATAAACACAAGTGTAACTTGTGTTTGCTGTGGTGGGCCCCATTTGTATGATAGCTGCCCATCCAACCCAGAATCTGTGTTTTATGTGGGAAACCAAAATCGAAACCAAAATAATTTTTCCACTAATTTTAATCAAGGATGGAGGCAGAATCAACAGCCTCAATTTTTCCAAGGGCAAGGGCAGCAAGCTGGCCCCTCAAATGCTCAAACCAAAGTACCTTTTCCCTCCTAAAATTACCAACAAACTTCAAGGCAGCAACCTTTTGCTCAGCCTAGTGAGCTGCCTATTGCTCCACCATCTTCCTTAGAAGCTTTGTTAAGGGAATATTTGGTTAAGAATGAGACCAAGCAAAACAGCTTGGAAGCTGTTGTGCAAAGTATTCCAGCATCCTTGAGGAACATAGAATCCCAACTAGGCCATTTAGCAAACACTATGAATACCAGACCCCCTGGTACCTTGCCTTGCAACACTGAAGAGCCTAGGAGAAATAAAGAGCAATGCAATATGATAGATCTTAGAAATGGCAGATCTCTAAATCAGCCAGAAGCTGTGGTTAGACCTTCCACATTAAAAAAAAAAGAGAAGATGAGAACATGCAGAAAGCTTCCCTCAAAGGTTACAAAAACAGAAGCAAGAACTCAATTTAGGAAATTTCTAGACCTCCTAAAACAGTTGCATGTCAACATTCCATTTATGGATGCATTAGAACAAATGCCCACTTATGTGAAATTCATGAAAGAAATTCTTTCAAGAAAAAGGAGGCTAGAAGAGTTTGAGACTGTTGCTCTTACACAAGAGAGCAGTCAATATCTGCTTAGTAAGATACCTCCTAAATTGGG